AAATCATATCAACACAACAACTTTTTAAAATGTAATCTACCACATTTATTAAACAGACGAGTATAATGGATATACAGTAACATACCTAGACTTCCATAAGGAATTCAATATGGTTGTACATGAGTTCCTCCGACTGAAATTAAAATGAGATCTGAGAGAGGGAGAGAATACACTATCTAAAAACAAACCGCATAGTTGTGAAATGGTACTATGTAGATCTGTACAGAGGTATTGAGCAGAGTTCTCTAAGAGTCAGTGGTAGGTCCAAATTTATTTAATCCCTTATCTATAGGAAAAAATGAGGGAGTACATTGAGAAAATCTGCCCATTATGCAAGGTAGGACGAGTAGCCAGCAACATACTGTCGGAGGCAGACTTAAAATACAGCAAAATAGAGAAAAATTGGAGAAAGGAGCAGAAAAAGTCCCGGGTCAGGACTTGGTTTACTTGACTTGTCTTATTTAGACTAAGCATTTCAGAGGAGAAAATGTGTCTTATGTAGGCTTGTTAGTCTGCAGGTAAATTCACACTATATAAATATTTACTAACAGAAAAAAACAACTAAAATGGAGTTTAGTCCAGATGAGATTTGATCCAGATCAATGCAGAGGTAGTTCACACTAATGAAAGAATCCAGCGTGCATATGTATTAAATGAGGGAGGATGCTGGTCAGAAACACTACCACCTTAAGAGAGGTATGGATAGAATAGCGGGCAATAAATTGAACACAGACATTTATTATAATACTGCTGCACAACACAAAATGTGACCCTAGAATGCATAAACACAGGCATTTGTACCTAGAAGCAGGGGGTTCTTTATTCTGTTATGCAACATTAGTGGGTTGCAGCTGGAGTACAGCCTTCAGTTTGGACACCCTACTATAAAAATGTCAATACACTGAAAACAATCCAGTAAAGGACACCCAGAAATGATAAAATACAACATGAGAAGTTAACAGAACAGAATTTGTACCGCCGGGAAAAAGAGAACTAAGAAAAAAGGAGGCCACATTATGCAGTCCTCAAATCAAGCAAAATCCCCATTGCTCAGTTAAGGAGTGGAGAAGTTGGTTCAGTGTCAGTGCAGAGACCAGAAGTACTAATGGTCTAAACTGAAGAAAGGAAACCTTTAGGATAAGTGCTATGACGAGGCTCTTCATAAACAGTGAAGTCAATTAGACAAGGGAAGAAGCTGCTCAGAGAGGCTGTGGAATAAGCATCACTGGAGATATTTCGTTGTGACGGGCAAACCCCCAAAAGTTCAGTTCAGATAAGCCCTTAAGACCAAATGCTTATCCAAATCTCTTCACAGTCAGATTTCATTTCTCCCTCTCTACTTTTCTACCTTCAACCTTTCTTTCTCCCTCCTTTCATTCCTAGCCCCACAGCACCCTTCTGCAGAATTTAAGACATACTGAGACTCCAAAGACAAATTTCAGATCAAATAGAAAGCCTTTCGGGATTGAGGATAAGAGGTGTATTTATCAGATTATTTTCAACTCTAAAAATAGACTCAGGTACATACAGGCTAATACTCTGTTGGCTATTAGGTTACAGCACCTGCACCTACCTAGCTTGTGTTGTAAACTCACTACATCTTTAAGAGTTCAATCTTCCTAGAATTAACCTGGGGAAGAGATCTTCAACTAACCCGTTAGCAAAATTCACTGAGCCAAAGCAAATTCCTCAAGTAAAGCATCCACTCTCCACCAATTGAGAAGCAGAGATTTTGCCCAGATACCATTTTTTCTCTAGGGTAGCAGAGATTGCTATGAGCTAAGACACCCTTTTAAAACGTTGCTGTTAAGCTTTACAATCTAACAAAGAAAGTGATTCTTAAGTTGTAAAGCTCATCACATTCTCCTATTAAATAGTGAGAAATGTCCTACATACCCACCTCCTTTGCACTATAGCCCTTTGTGGTATTGGAAGTAATGAAAACAAACACAGCTCATATTTTGGTTCTGAACTTTTCATTTTGTAGTAATTTTTTTTAACAAGATGTAAACACAACGAAATACCATTCATTTAGGGCATAGATTCTAACTCCTAAAGAAAACTGGAGAATCATGACAAACATTGGACAATTTTTTGAAACTGTTTATTTAGGCAATGTTATGTTAAATGTTAACGTACTACAATGTATATTACTTATTCAGGATCAGTTTAATATACAAAGAACCTGGCTAAAGATTCTGGCTTGCTGGCTGAGGAGCCCTCGTCCTCTGAGGACACTCAAAAGGGTGGCCAAACTCCTAAATATCTATTGTCTTTTTGGTGCTTTTCTTGTGTACAGAATTGGTATGAAAACTTTTCAGTTACAAGAACATTCCAGATTTTACTATACCACCAAGAACATTCCATATTTTATTACTATTTCATAGGCAGAAGTGACATTTTCCCCAGTAATGTGTAATAAAGAGTCTAGCTGCTAACAATAAAAAATAAATTAGTCATTCTGTTTAAAACATAGATCTTTTACTGGAGCATTGAGTAAGCAGATCAGGAGATCTCTAGACATCTGGCATTTTGTAATATGATGAATTTCTTTAACACTTTCCTCCTAAAACCGTCCAGTTCTTGGACGCTACCATCACACATGCAAGTATGTTCCCCTCTCCTCTCAACCCCACTAATAGAGCACCCCCCTAGTAGCAAATATATGATGGATCTTAACTGGAGTCAAATGCAATCTGTACAATAATTTAACAAAAAAAAATTAGGAGCTATGCAAATTGAAGATGAACTTCCCCCTTCCCATAACCAGATCCACTCATTCAGATCTTTTTTCCTCCCCAAATCTCTCCCCCGTCATTTCACCTGTATTATTTTCTTAACATCTTTTTCGAACAAAATTTTTATTTATATATAATCTTAGAAATTAAGCCTTTCGTTCCAGCTGGCTCTTGGGTAAGGACAATACCATAGGCTTACAGAACTCATATAAAGTTAGTTATTAGATGGGTTTTTAATGTATTGTTCCTGTTTACTGTTCTCTGTAGAGATGCCTGGTTTGGAATCAGCTGTGTGATTAGCTAGTTGAATGAAAGAATATATCCAGCTAGGTCATATATTTGCCTTTGTGCAGTTCACTCAAATTGCCAGACAGATTTTCCATTGTATCTACCTCTATGTGTGTGGTCAGGTCATCTAGTAGTCTCTGGACAGAGAGGGAGTAAGAGGCAGGAATGAATATGGTCTTTAACTTCAGCATTAATCTCCCTTCTTTTCGAATATCCAACCATTTTTCTAAAACCAGAAAAGTACTGACAAATCCAGAATAGTTTACATAATATTGAAAGAGTGTAAAATAACCATCTTCCACCACAATGACTTTTTATTTTCAAAATTAAAACAGATGCCATTTAAAAAAAAATTTAAAGAACAAAACCACAAATAAATCTTCAGGTCTGATCACCCTCCCGGTTACACTGGTTTAACAGTGCAGTCAATGGAATTATACTGGTGCAAAACCTGTAACAGAGTGAAGAATCAGGCCCTTTATTTCAAAGAGAAAAGAAGAGGGTGGGGAGGACTTTCCAAGTTATATGTTATATAAAGGGAACGTCTGCTTTGCTAATGAAAGGTGTGAGCTGTAGAATGAATGCCCTTCAGATAAAAAGTATGATGAGTCTTCCTGGAATGCCCCACCCTGGTGTTATACTGTCAGAAAACTGAATGGCAAGTGAGAGCATGCATGATATAGTCTTTTTCATTCATGTGAAACACCATCAAGGTAACTTTATGAGCCAAGTAGTACTCTGGTAGCCCCACTGAAGCAGAAAATATAGCTACTCATGCACAAGAAAAAAAAAAACTTCATTGTGAAATAGCTCAGGTTGCCACACACCTGACATAACTGACAACCAAAAAAGCAAGGAAAAGAAAGTTAAGCTAACAGTCCATATCCTCTACTACTTCACTCACAGGCGTGCACCTTACTTCAGATACTGACCACCACTCACCACAAGCTTGACTCTTCCCCCCCAGGAATGCTAGCCCACACGCCTCATATTTTGCAATACGTGTCACTTTACAGAGAGCGCTGTCTGTCAGACCAGAGTAAAATAAAAGGTAGTGAAGTATTCACAGGAAAATAGCATGCCTCACTTTCGTGGCATCTGCATGTATAAGAAACTTTTTCATAATTTTGAGGCTCTGAGGACCATGCTAAATGAATTGTGTGTGAACACGGTGTGAAATTTCACTCCCCACCCCACTCTAAAAAAAACATTTTGCCAATTTTGACCAGCCCTAATTAAAATGTACATATTCTGAGTTTCTCGTATTTAGGGGCTTAAGTGGAGGGTGTCTATTATATTTTATTAATATTTTAAAGACAACATTTTTATCTGTACTTGAACATTCTTACTGAAATCATGTTTGTGAATCTAATACCATCTATATTTACAGCACATTTCTCTCATACACCAATATTCAGATGTAAGCTAATGAGAGTGTACACACACACACACACAGAGTTGCTTGGATTTACCTAAATCGGTTTAAAATAATACTGTTAAATTGGTGTGACTTCTGAGTTTAAAGAAGGCCTTGCGTTAATGCATTCAGTTATCTCAAGGATGACATACTGTGATGTCTCCCCCCAAAAGTTTAACTTCTCATCCACAAGTGTGTCTGCGGTGACCACATCTATTTAGTACCAGTAGCACCTGTCATGGACTTAATCTCATCAAGTACTTTTATAGAGTTAAAATTTAACCAAGCTTCTGCTATCAACAGCAGCAAAGATCCATAAGATTCTGTATTTCTTTCTTACAGTCAGATAAACAAACTGCTTAGTCAATAAAAAGAAAAGTCCAGTTTATAGTTCTTAGCAGAACTGTTAAGTAGTTGTGGATTTAACAGCTTGCAGGATCAGTTACTACAGTACTTAAAAGAGAGACCACAAAAAGCCTCATTTTCCTAATCCACCATCACTTTTACCAATTGCATTTAAAAGTAATACCACTTCCGTGCAGTATTTGGAAACTTACCAAGTGTCAATCCATTCACCTTTCTGTACTTTTCATTGTCTGTTTCCTTCTGAAAAAAAATCAATACAAATTAGTCACCAAAAAAAGCAATACGGCTTCATGTTATTTCCTGAAAGGTCAGTAATGAGACTTTGGACAGTCCAGCATTTTTATTTTGTATTCTATCACTTTATTTCTCCTCTTTTATTCTCTGGCAGGTGCCGGGGGCTCTAGACAGTGCTCAGGCACAACTAGGACCACTTTATGGTTAGCTCTGGAGTTCACCAGGCCTGAGGATGGTCCCCAGGGTCTTATCCACAGAAGTAAATTCTGTCCTCCCTGCTTGTGAGTGCCTCTCTTTACACATGCAGTGTCATTTACAGGCACAAATCACGTGAACACGAAGCGAATGATTCACATATACAAGTTTCCCTATTTGCACACACTAAGACCTGCTTGTTTCAGGCCAATGGAGGACTCTGCATGTGCTCAGAAGCACTTAAATACTGTTCATGCCATTATTTATTGTTATTCCCCTATGAGAATCTGGTACCTAAATTGTTCTGTGTACAGTGCCTAGCACAATGGGATCCGGGTCCCTCACTGGGGCTCCTAAATACTACAGTAATACAAATAATATTCGCAAAAAGAAAAGGAGTACTTGTGGCACCTTAGAGACTAACCAATTTATTTGAGCATGAGCTTTCGTGAGCTACAGCTCACTTCATCAGATGCATACCGTGGAAACTGCAGCAGACTTTATATACACACAGAGAATATGAAACAATACCTCCTCCCACCCCACTGTCCTGCACACGAAAGCTCATGCTCAAATAAATTGGTTAGTCTCTAAGGTGCCACAAGTACTCCTTTTCTTTTTGCGAATACAGACTAACACGGCTGTTCCTCTGAAACAAATAATATTAGTAACCATAGCGCTTTCCCTTTGCTTCTATTCTTTCAGCACTTTGCATTTTTCATTCTTACAAATGAGGAAACCCACCCTATTCCGCTGTGATGCTGTATGGTGACATCAAACTATAGGGTTGTACATGGTGACCTCGCTTATGATACTGCATCAAGTCACCATCGTTCCCTATATGTCACCTCATGCATGATGACACCAATGCATTTCTTGAGCATAGTGACAAAATGAACAGAGAACAAAGAATGACATTTCCTTTATTTTATTTACCATTCTTTTAACCAGGTAATCTCCAGCTCAGACTACTAGCATCCACCCCTCTCCCCCACACTCACCTCCCCCCCAAAAAATCACCATTCTCCTGCCTTATTCCTAGCAGCATATATCTCAGTTCCCAGCCATCTTTACCTTTGAGTTAGTCATCCTTTATTCTTCCTTTAGTAAAGCTCACCACACATCCACAAAAGTCCTAATTAACAGTTAATCTGTGGAACTCATTGCCAGAGGATGTTGTGATAGTCAAAAGTATAACTAGGTTAAAAAAAAAAAAACTAGTAAAATGCAAGGAGGATACATCCAGCAATGGCTATTAGCCAAGATGGCCAGGGTAACCCTAAACCTCTAACTGCCAGACGGGGAAGAGCAGGGTGGATCTCTCCAACGGCCCTGTTCCATACACTCCTGCTGAAGCTCTGGTATGGGCCACCATTGGAGACAGGATACTTGGCCAGATGAACCATTGGTCTGACCCAGCATTGCAGTTCTTATGTTCCAGTACACAAAAGTACACAGCAGACATGGCTGTACAGTAGCTGGCTTTTTGTTTACTGCCCCCACGATTTAAAGAAAGCTGGTGTATTTTAGGATTCAGCTCTCTGAATAAGCTTACCCCACCAAGAAATCATTCTGACACCTGTATGATCAGGTCTCCCAGATCTAGAATAGAGACCACAGTCCTCAAGGTTATGGCATTCTACATGTTATGACCACAGTCTTTAATGGCACTGAAGATCCTCTAGCCACAAACAGCATTACATCTTAATCTCTCCAGCCCCTCACAGCAGGGAACCCCCTACATCAGCAGACTAGCATCAGGTGGGGGAGCCTTTAAAAGCTGCTTCCCAGTTGAGTGCCAGCTATTGCCAAGCTCCTTCCCTCACTTCCACAAAATTTAACAGGGACAAGAGCCAGAGACTCTATGGAGTCCACTAAGGCCTTTGGCCCAGAACCTCAACAGGTGTTTAGGCACCTAACTCCCATTGAAACCAACCTACTTTATGAAAAGTGCTCAGATGGGCAACAGTACAAATCCCTAGGAAACACAATGTATAAGCACAACATGCCTCCCTGGTGTAAGGAGTTCCACACTGCTAGCGCAAGTGATGTCTCTGAAATAAAAGCTACAGATATAAATAAATCAGCAATTCTGGGGAGAAATTTTAAAGGCACAAAGGGCAGCTAGGCACCCAGCTCCCATTGGCTTTCAACTCTATTCCTTACCGAAATGTAGCATATTTCAAGTATATACCGACAGGCTTGCAATGTACTAGCATGTTAATTCTTTGCTCTTATGGAAAAAGTTTGATTCAGGATTCATAACAGAATGTACTCAAAAGCAACAAATCCAAGGATGCAAGACAGACACACAAGCTGCTTATGAAAATCATTTTATTGTGAAAAGTGTTAAAGGCATCTTTAAATTGCTCCTTCCTGGCAGGGTGCACTAGTAATTTGCTTCCATCCACCACATTTCAGGTCAGGTTACTGTAATTTTTGCAATCACTTTAAAAACATCTTTTTTTTATTTAAATGGTGTCTCAGACTTTGTTTTGAATTCTGTGTGCACCCTACAAGTGGCTGTCCGGATCCTTTTCCAACTTGGCTTCTGCAGCAAAGTGTGGAACATACAGTATTTAACTTCATGAGACTGCAATTATTAAAGGACCACTGCCACACGCTGGCAAACTCTGAAATATATGTTCTCCTGAAGCCTTACTAACCTCTATTTCTTTGCCCCTCTTTACTGCTTACCAAAGTATTTGTGTGGAAACAGAAAGTCGCTGTTTTCAAAGCTGGATTTCTCTTTCTGCCTGATTCATTCAGCGATGTTGTACTAGTCCGTTTGTGACATCAGCATTCATCATCCCAAAAGCAGCTGTAGTGTCACTAAAACGAGAGTGACTAAGTCAGGCAAAAAGAAGGCTGGTTATGTAAAACCAAACCTAAATGGTTATACCATCAATATCTTCATAATAAGTCAGCAATGAGTGGAAAAATAATACAGAACAACTGTGAATTTAATGGGATTTAGATGTTATAAAGATCCACTGGTGTGCAGCTGTGGTTCTTCAATGACTCATTAGCTTCTGAAAAAGTTCCCTTGCCATTTCATGAGGACAGTAACAGTTCAGGGATAGTTAGCTACAGAAACCTCCTCAAGGAGCTTCACTTTGTCTCAGTGGTACCCTGTCTGATTAGGTGATTAAACGGGTCTTGAAGAAATAGCTGCAGTCTCACCTTTGTTAGTATGAGAAATGTCATCTGACTAACTCCAGCTTGGATTTACACCACTCGGACATTGGAGCAGAGCACCCTCTGTGTTCTCTGTCATCAGTGACACTCTGGCATAAAATTTCTTATCTAAAGAGAAAGGTCTCATCTCAGTCATTCTGCTCTCCTACTAGAGTCTGAATGACCAGTGATATCAAGGTTCAAGCCATAGATGTGAAAGGTGAATTTTGGTATCAGTTTTAACAGCTTTTGGGCAGATTTTTACACTCATGGTTTATATAATTTGTTTTACTTGATTACAGGACCTCAGGGGTCCTACTTCAATAGCATTACTTTGCTTTTCTATCTTTCCCTGCTACCTACTAGCTCCCCCCAGTTCTCCCCCACACACACCCACCCCACCTTTTTTTTTTTTTTTTAAGTGTAAATACTCATTAGCCTTTGTCTTGATTACACACTTCCCCAGAGCTATCTTTTGGGTTTCCTACATGCTGCAGTAAGGGCCTGATCCAAAGCCAATTGATGTCAATGGGGAGGCTAGTGACCTGGATCAGGTTTTAAGTATGCTTGTTTGGCACCTACTTTTGAACAGTATTAAATTCATTTTTAGTTTTTTTGAGGTAACCAAGAATAATTTCATTCTCAGATCTGTTTGAAGTAGCCATCATTCTTTATCATGTTTGGGTCCTGTTTAGGTCAGAAGTCAAAAAACTTCAACACCAGGCTGTATCTATTGTGAAACACCAACCCTATAAATGGGGGTGAGGGGTTAAATACTGATGAAAAAGCAGTGTGGAAGATTGCTTCCCCAAATCCTCTAAAATCTGCCACTGAACTCAAAGTTTTAGTTAGTGGTATAATTAGCATCTCTTCTACTACCACCATGTATTTAAGAATGTTAATAACAGATGACAAATGGTGCAAGAGTGTCAGAATTTTTAAATGAATTAATTTCAGCTGTTCATGATCACTTTGTCTTCACTGTCTGCAAATATAGTAAAATAGTTTATTAACAGGAATGTTCACCAACACAGCTAATAACAATCAGGAAATGAACAATACGTGGAAAATAATTTTTTATAAATTTATAGTCAGGAGTGCTGGCACCAGAAACCTGGTTGTGAGAGTTGTGCTCATCCAATCAGGTAAAAGAATCAGATCATGGGTCCTGGATACCTAAGCAAAACAGTTCAACTCTTTGAAATTCAAACATCCACAATGAAGTGCTTCCAAATAAGCTACAGCCCAAAACTTTATATGGTGCATAATTCTGAACAAATGAATTAGAGAAAACAGCGATCTGTTTGACGACGACTTACAAATAATTCATTTGGTTCCACCTCATCTCAGTTACGTTCTCTGCAGTAGGGTTGGAACAAAACCATAATTGTGCCCAAGAGGGCTCATAAAACCTACAAATGCTGCTGCTGTTGTAGAAGTACCTGAACACATTAGGTTTTTTCCAGCATATTCCTCCCCCTCTGCATCCATTTCCCTAGTTTTCCGTTTAGTGCAATATGACCTTTTCTGACTAACCCTCTTAAGGCTTGCTTGTTCTTGTTCCTGGTTCATATGCAAACCCATGAAATAACATCCGCAAAGTCAGAGTCCTCCTGTTCACAAAAGATGTCACTTTCAAAGCAAAAGGAAATTGCTGCCCGCCTCTGGTTGTTCTTGGAGACTGAAGAATGCTTTATTTATAAACCCTGCAGATATATCTCAACATTTATCATCCCTGAATATTATCTGAAACCATAGGATTTGAGTGCCTTTAGGCACTGATTTTCTCATGGGTAACATTTACCTAAATAAGAAATGCAACATATTTAGAAAGTTGCAAATCTAGACTCACTGGACTGATTCTTTGCCACCTGGCACTTTGTGGAGACATTACACCTGTGCAAAGTGGGTCCAAAGTGCTACCATATCAGAATGATTGGATTCTACATGCACTGTGCGGAGGCGAGAAGGAAGGATGGTGAGAGCGTTAGGGAAAAAGCTTAGGACTTGGGAGGCAAGGGTGCATTTCCTACTCAATGGCCAGCTTCCTGTGTGACTTTGGGCAAGCCACAGCCTTGGTGCCTCAAATCCCTGTCTCTATAAGGGGAATAACAGCACTACCTTACCCCAGAGGGTGTTGTGAGGATAACTACACTTATGATTGTGAGGTGCTCAGATACTGTACTCCTTTCCCAATCATCCACAGAGATTCTAAACAGGATACTAAGTCATCCTTGCAAGCATCCCAAAACCTGCGCAGCAGTCTGCCTCTTTCTAGACCATTCATGAGCTTCAGAGTACAGCAAACTCTTAGGGATCCTGTAATCTGGCATTCGCTTGACATGTCCAAGCCACCTGAGTCTCTTATTAATCAACGTTTCCATGAAACACATATTAGCACAATTTAAACATTTCCACATTTGTCACCCTGTCTTGCCATCTTATTCGAAGAATTTTACACAAGCATCGTCTATGAAAGCAGTTTAGTCTTTTGATATGTTTGATGCAAGTGGTTCATGTTTCTGAACCATATAGAAAAGAGTGGATAAAAATCACATCTCATAAATACGGATTTTCACTTTAGTTGACAATTTATTATTATTCCAGGCTCTGTCTTGCATAAGAGCCAAGTTCCTGGCTGCTTTACTGACTGTACTTGCTAGTTCAGCATCAAGATCTACATTGCTGATAACAGAGCCAAGGTAGAAAAATTGGTCAACAACATCCAGTTGAATACTCTAAGGTGATATCTAGAATTGATTCCAAAGAGCCTTGGTGCATGGTAACAGTCTTCAAGCTTATTGCTAGCCCAAAGATTTTGCATGAATCAGAACTGGCTAATATGTTGTAGGGCATCAAGACAGTGAGCCACAAGGGCCACATCATCCGCAAACAGATCCCTTATGATGATCTCCTTCACCTTTGTCTTAGCTCTGAACCTTGCAATGTGAAGCAAACCACCATGATGTCTAGTGCTAAGATAGACACCATCTTGAACATCACAGAACACATATTGAAGCAGGAATGAGAAATTTTAAACAATGTAGGAGCCAGTACACAACCCTGCTTCACTCTATTGTTGATGTTAAAGGAATCCGACTCTTGGTTCTCATACGTTGCGGTTGCGTTCATGCTGTCGTGTAAAGATTTCACTGGGTTTAGCAATATGGGTGAACAACCTAGCTTCTTCACAACAATGTAAAGCCCTGTCCAACTGTGTCAAAGCTTTTGTGAAATCTATAAAAGCCACATACAATGAAATGTTTCCCTCTGCACTTTTACTGCAATTTTCTTAAAGAAAGGACCATATCTATGGTGGACCTTCCCAAGCAGAAGCCACACTGGCTCTCAGGATAGATTCTCCCAGCTAGAGTTTGAAGTCTAGGTAAAAGAATACAGTTTAAGATTTTTTCCCCCCACAACGTTAAGAAATCTCTCTCTGTGGTTATTACAATCACTTCTGTCTTTGTTTTTATAGAGCTAGATGAAACAAGCATCCTTAAAATCTTGCGGAACAGTTTCTTTGTTCCAACAGAATAGCAATACCTCGTGCAATCTTTGCAGCAAGTCTTTGCATATTTTGTAGAGTTCAGCCGGTAAACAGTCAGATCCTGAATCTTTGTTGTTGGGAAACTTTCTGATGAGTTGTTCAAGTTCCTCTAGTGTAGGTTCACTGGAGTGATAACTTCAAACCCAGGCAATTTGCCTAACATACTTGGTCTACTACATATTCCCTTGAGTATATCATTCCATAGTGTTTAATCCACCTCTCCAGTTGCTTTCCTTTATCAGTTATGATATTGCCATCCTAGAGCTTTCAGCAGAGCTGTCTTGTTCTTTAATCAGCCCAATGGTCTTTCTAATGCCCTCATACAACCTTCTACTGTCACCTGCACTATCCACCCGCTGGATGCGGTCAGATACCCAGCCAAAAATTCTTCACCACACCTCCTGGAAGCTATTTGAACAATCTTACAAGCTTCTCTTAGGTTATCGATGGAATCAGTAGTAGGTGATCAGGGCAGATCTTTTCCTCTCAATGAGTGGCAGCAGTATGTCCAAACGGTCTATGAACCGTCAACATTTTTTCCTAGTACTCTTTCCAAAAAAAAAAACCTCTTGATTGACATATTGTAGATACTAGTCTTCAAGACTTCCCATGCATCTGAAGCAGTTTAATTCATTCCAGCTGTCTTTGCTACTTCATTAAAAAGCCGTTTCTTGACAGGATCATTGATTTGGCACAAGACAATATGAGGTTGTACAGCAGGTTTATTACATTGGATCTTCTTTGCTGCAAAATGAAATTTCAAGCTGACAAGAGCGTCGTCTGTGTCACAGTCTGCCCTTTGGAAGGATCATGTATTCAGGAGATCTTTCAAGTATGTATGTCTTGTCTGTGCCAAGTCCAGCTAATGCCAGTGCTTGGACCTCAGATGTCTCCACGATGTTTTTCGGATGTTACCAGTAAAGAATGCATTGGTCACCAATAAGCCTTGCCTGGCACAGAGCTCAAGAACTCTCTGACCCTTCCCAGGTCAGATCTCAGCATTGGACCCCATTCTTGCATTGAAGTCTCCAAGTACTAGGATGGGTTCCTTCTGTGGAATCCGGACAATCAGTTCTTCCAGCTGTTGGTAAAAGCTATCCTTCTC